CATACTGATACAGCCCACACTTAAAGGATCTAGCTCTACTCATCCCATGAAAAAGAAAAGAGGGGAACAAATACAGCTACCTGCCCAATTACATCTCTATTTATTTATTTATTTATTTATTTTTAAATACATTTTTATCGATTTCAGAGAGGAACGGAGAGGGAGAGAGAGATATAAACATCAGTGATGAGAAAGAATCATTGGTAGGCTGCCTCCTGCACACCTCACACTGGGGATCAAGTCTGAAACCCAGGCATGTGCCTGATGGGGAATCGAACCATGACCTCCTGGTTCATAGGCTGATGCTTAACCACTGAGCCATGCCAGCCGGGCCCCAATTACACCTTTAAAGAGGTTACAAAGAAAACAGTTGCCAAGCCCATGGCACTGTCAGGGAGGGCAACGGGAGGAGGAAGGGGCATTAAAGAGAGAACGAAGCCTCCACCGCAGAGAGGCTGTGAGAGAAGTCCATGCAGTTCTTATCCTATTTACTTCATTTCTGCCCCAACCCACAGGGTCCTCAAGTATTTCTGTGCCAAAATTCTGACCTTGGTTTTTCTCTCTCTTTTGTTTTACTTTACACATGCGTCTTAAGGAGGGCACTGCCAGTCTTTGGGTGGGACAACTCATGCTCGTGTAGGACTGTTGTGCCAATTGCAGGGTGCCTGTACCTCTGGCCCCCACTTACTAATGCCAGTAGAACCACCAAGTCACTGGGGCAACCAAATATGCATTTCCCAATGCCCCTAGGGAGTAAATACAGCCACCATCACTTAAAAACCAATGCTACAAGCTCTAGCGCAGCGGTTCTCAACCTGTGGGTCGCGACCCCTCTGGGGGTCGAACGAACCTTTCACAGGGGTCACCTAAGACCATCGGAAAACACATATATAATTACATATTGTTTCTGTGATTAATCACTATGCTTTAATTATGTTCAATTTGTAACAATGAAAATACATCCTGCATATCAGATAGTTCCATTACGATTCATAACAGTAGCAAAATTACAGTCATGAAGTAGCAATAAAAATAATTTTATGGTTGGGGGTCACCACAACATGAGGAACTGTATTAAAGGGTGGCAGCATTAGGAAGGTTGAGAACCACTGGTCTAGCGTCTCATGGAGAACCACCCCTATGACTCAAATCCTACATCTCCAGTCAAGATTTTTCTCTTATCTGCTTCCCCTCAGGCTTCACAATCACTTCAAACCTGCCCCAAATTGACTTTCTTGTTTCCCTCGCGAAGCCCCAACCTGTCTCTCTTCTATCCTGGCCAATACAACCTCCATCAACAGTCAGCAAGGCAGAAACCTGGCAGGCAGACAAAACTCCTCCCGGTTTCTCATCACGGCCTTCAAGATTCTATGTTCTAAACATCCCTCAAGTCCTTTCCTTCCAACTCCCTATCAGGTTCCCATCATCTCTGGCTGTGTTCCTGGAAAGGCCTCTGATCTTTCACCATCTTCAGATCCTCTCTAACGCCTTAGATTTTACAGTTACCTTCCAGGCCACCACCTCAGTCCCCTATTTAAGGCCGCAATGTTTCCACACAGCCTCAGCAGGGCACATGGAGGCCTTCACCATCCTCAGCTCTGATGCCCATCCACCATTAAGCCCAAAACCTCCAGCCTGACCCAACGGACCTGCCGATTTCGGGAGATGTGCCCTGCAGTGGGATGCCTCTGCTCACACGCTGGGAATGTCCCCCTGGGGCCCAACAGCCACTGGGCAGATGCCATCAGCTAATATGCTCTAGAACCCAGGCACCTTGCAGAATAGGGGGTCCCACAGTGTTCACTGAAAGGAGCAATTCTTTATAAAAAAAAGAATTTAGTATGGACCTGTCACTGATAAACACACACACACACACACACACACACACACACACCCAGAATCAGAATTATCTTGTCCCTGTCATCTCCCGTAAAAGGGCCTCTTGGTGTTATTTATGGGTGGTAAAGAGCCTGAACTACCATAAAGGGGACCGGATGCCACACTGTTAAGCTGAAAGTTGAGCATGTTCTGACCTCAACCTACCCGACATATCCTAGCACCTAGAGCTACCATTTCTCATTAGGTGAAAGTCACATAGCACTTAACAGGCCATACTTAATCAGTAATATCCAATCCAGACACCGACCATTTGTTTTACTCAAGATTCTGTTTGACATTTTCTTAGGACTGGAAACTCTGTCGTGGGCAGCACATTAAATAGTTATCACTTGAGAGTCATTCTTGGAGACCGAACGCTGGAAATTCAACAAATAGGCATTACATAATAAATGGGCTTTGCCAACACTCCGAGCACTTTAAATTTTTAAAAGGCTGTATCTGAGTGTTTCAGATACGTAAATGGGTTTTCAAACTGAATTAAATAAACGTGTGCGCTATGTTATTATAAAGCAGACATAAGATTATATGAAGAAGCAGATTCTAGTTAAAATACAACAGAGAATATCACACAGGCAGCTATCCAATTTACAACATTACATTTCAAGTAAAAAACAAAACAAAAATATAAAGAAAAGGGTATTTATTTATTTATTTTTAATGGAGAATGACAAGTTTCTGAGTTTTGCTTTTAATTAAAAAGAAAAAATGGTCCAGAATAGCCACTTCCTATAAGCTACCATAGAAACGAAAATTTACTTAACAAAAGCATAAAATATTTAAATTTTATAAATGATTAAAATAAAATTTAAATCTATTAATTTAAATGAAATGGCTTACTTCAGGCTTAACCAATGGCGAATATTTTTATACCCTTTTTATAAATAAGAAATGACCTGGCCCAGATAGTGTTGCTCAGTGGTTAAGTATCGGCCCATGAACCATGAGGTCACGGTTTGATTCCCAGTCAGGGCACATGCCTAGGTTGAGGGCCCGGACCCCAATGGAGGGCGTACAGGAGGCAGTCGACCGATGTTTCTCTCTCATCCATGTTTCCATCTCTCTATCCCTCTCCCTTCCTCTAAAAAAGGAACAAAAATATATATATTTAAAAAAATGATCTGGAGAAGTAGCAACCTGATCGAGGTTAACTAATCACGGAAAGAAGTGACTGCTGGAACCCCGGCTCCTTCTGAACCATGCCGACACACAGGCAGTTCTGTCGAGGCCCAAAGACTTAAGGAAGCATCCTCAGCTCAAACGAACTGTTGTCACTTAACAACCAGACTCTACTAAAAGCTTTCTCTGGAGTCATTACGACACTGCGAGAAGCTGACCAATGGCCACCTGATTCAAAGCACAATTCCACACTGGAGTAAAAACATGCCATGAGGGTTTTCGGAAAACATTTCTATTTTAAAATCATGACTTGCAATTTACAGTTATCAAAACAGTAATAATTCTTCATAGTGATGTAGCTAACTTGGAGCTTTGTTTTCCTTCAACTGAAGTACAAGTTATAATGAAAGAGACTCACTTTGAAATCTAAATACCTTTGGAAGAGGGACACACCATGTAAGGGAGAAAAGATATCTTCACTGAAAGGAGAAAAGAAAGCTTCATTTCTCTTACCCAAACTGGCAAGACAGCCCTGGCTGGTGTGGCTCAGTTGGTCCCATGCACAAGGTCGCTGGTTCGATTCTTGGTCTGGGCACATGGCAGGTTACGGGCTCAATCCCTAGTGGTGGGCATTCCGGAGGCAGCTGATTGATGCTACTCTCTCACATTATTTCTCTCTCTCTCTCCCTCTCTCTCTCAAATCAATAAAAATATTTTTCAAAAAAAACTGGCAAGACTGGTACCAAAAGCACAATGGGTGGACCACAAGCAACAGAAAAAGCTTCTGAAAAAGGATTTCCCAGCACCACCACCACCACACCACAGGCACACTGTCCCTCAGGCCCAGCAGATCCTCCGAATGTGTATTTTAAGTACCCATGTCAATAACAAGATTGCCAGGATCTTTTCTGGTGCCAGAATCTGGCCTCTGCAGCTGTGCCACTATCATGAAACATTTGGAGAGCTCAGTGATCTGCCCACGTGCTGATCTGTTTAGCATGGATGTTCAACCTTGTAGCTTGGAAGAAAAGTGCACCTTGCATACAGTGACGGAGCCAGAAGACAAGCGTGAACACGCTATCGTGACTGCTTGGCTCCTCCCCGAAGTGACAGAAGAATAATGTTCGGATTTACAAGGAATATTCACACCAGGGCAGCACCAGTTTTTGTCCATCCTAAAGACTGTCCAACTTGTAGGTCCTCTATTTACGAAAAAAATTAGGCACAAAGCAACTACTTAAAAGGTACCCTTCTAAGTAAGAAGGCTTAAAGCTTAAGCTTTATTAGTTGTACAGTAAATCCAACTTGGACCCAACCACATAAAATTGCCGATATTCAGTCCATAAACAGCAGCTTCATATGGTTCGCTTTAGTGCACTTCTGGTGCGTGGCTGCAGCGCAGGCTGTGTAGTTTGCTAAGAAGCACATAAAAGCTCAATGCTGGTATACCGAGTTCCTGCACTCATTAAACATGATACTGAAAACTCTTCCAGCAGCGCTTATGAAATGCTAGATATGGAAAAACCTATAGAAATCATTATGGGCCTTATAAACGCATTTCAAAAATAATGTTTATGTGAACAAAATCATAATGTATGAACAAATATAAGAACATGAAAATGTAAACAAAATCACTTTTGTATTTGCTTGGCGTGATTGTTAGTTACTTTTTTCTTTCCCAACTAAGTGCTGTTCTATCATTGGCATAATTGAAAATGAAAAGAGTGAGGAGGAGGAGGGAAGAGAAGGAATGAAGTGACCTTAGATAACACAGTCTGCTGTGACAATTAATTACACACTTAGGATCCGTCTATCTGTCAACAACCTGAAACATATCTTTAAATTTATTTCAAAGAATAAAGATAAAAGCCAATTGAGTAAATGAGAGATTTCATGTCCACAAATGCCTTCCTTTTGAGATAACACAGGTGTCTGTTAGTAAGTAATGTCTTGGCATGACCCAAGGCAAATAAAAGGGAACTTACTTTTTGCTTGCCTCACAGACGTCTGTAATATTGGAGAAAAGATGGTGACTCTCTGTTTTGGTCATTGTATCACTCAGTTCTTTAGAATTTTTAAACATTCGTATCAAGATCTCCAAGCTGAGTAAATATGAATGTTCAGAGGATATAACTTCAAAGATAGCCTGGTAAGGAGGAAAAAGAAATATATTATTAATTCTAGTAACTGAAGAACTAATACATAACTCCCATAATTCTGCTGATAGTATAAGGGTGAATATAATACCTTGAAAAGTACAAAAAGATAAGCATGAAAAAACTGTATTATGCCTGGCCAATGTGGCTAGTGTTGAGTATCGACCCATGCACCAGGTCACCGGTTTGATTCCCAGTTCAGGGCACATGTCCGCATTGCGGGCTCGTCCCCAGTTTCTCTCTCATTGATGTTTCTCTCTCTCTCTCTAAAAACATACACACAATAAAAGCATATTTACAAAAAAATAAAATAAAGAAAACTGTATCACCAAACTACTGTCTTTATATAAGGCACTTATACCCAAATCTTGAGAGAGAGAGAGTCACTGCCCATAGTGTAAATATGAAACAATGAAATCATCACTTGGATAACTTGAGATTGCATCCTGAGGTTGTACTTTGCCTTGGGGTAGGATCTATATTAGGAAGCTAGGGCATGTGATAAAATCTCAGTGTGACACTAATTAATCTTTGGGGTCATCTCCCATAGCCCTGCTTTCAAAGCATGTTGCTCTGGGACAATAAGGATTTACGGACATCACTTAGGATTCAGAGGAAAATTTTCACAAATATAGTCCTTCGCTCTGTCTCTGTGGCCCTTTCTCTACCTATGTTTTCATCTGAATCATCTGCAGTCAATAACAGCAAACATTCTGGGTGTGCTAAGAGAGCATGACTTTTCCTACCCTCAAAAGGCTCTTAACCGCCTCAGGAATTCTTTCAAATCAACTCATACACATTGAAAGCAATTCCTGTCTGTTCAACAAGCCACCACCTCTGCTCTTGTCAGTGTCTCAAGAAGGAGCGAAGGACCCTCTGCAGAAACTCTTGGTGTCAGGCACTCCGTGGTTTTCCTGATAAGCATTCATTCATGATGAAATGCCAACCCTCACAGGTGGATGGACATCAGTGCCCTAGGTAAGGAATTCATCTAGCCCCTTAACAAAGTCAACTTCAGGTCCTCCAAGAATGGCAACACAGGGGAAATTCCTCCTCAGGGAGTGATGGTGGACATCCTGAGAGTCACGTCCTGTCCTTCCTGGAGACCTCCCTAGTAACACTGCCATCATTGCCCTGTCCTCCAGGGCTCCTCGCTGCAAACCCGTGCTCAGAGGATTCTTCCCAGGACTCCCTGTGCTGCTGCTAAGCCTGGGTGGGAGCAGGGCAGGCTAGGCAGGTAGAGGCCCGGCTACTGGTGGGTGGGCCATATTTGCAAGTCACATTAGTGGTGCCAATCTCAATCTGCATCTCTCTTTTCAGCATCCATAAGCTTTTAGGGAAGTCTTACTTCAAAGTACTGCTCTAGCCTTGGTTGTGCTCAAGGATTTAAGTGAAAGAACATTCTAAAGAGTAAAGAGTAAGCCCATTAGGCGTCTCACTGAACCTGTTTCTTAGGTAATTCTGTAACACAGTTATCAGTCCATCAATATGATTATCTCCAGGACGTGCAATGCCAACTAAAAAAAATTGTCACTTCCTAGCCAAAACTAAGGGATTTCAGGTTGTTGATGGATATGGCACATTGGGAGGACTTAAAATATTTTAAACATTAAGGACTTTTATAATAAAATCCAAAACATGAAGATTTGAATAAAAAGATTTAATGAATTATACAGAATAGATCATAGGAAAAGATGAATTAAGTGGTACTTGCATATAATAAGGTTAATGTAATTTTGAAAACACCTGCAACAGAGCCATTAACGACTTAATGGCAAATCAGGTTACCCCTGCTAAAAATAGCTATACGGAATAGAAAGAAACCATAAAGGTAGAGTTACTGCTGTCACAACTTTTTTTATATCGCAAATCTGAATAAACATTTTCAAAATATAAGGAAAATAGAATAGCTTCAAATAGAAAAGGATTAAAAGAACAGAAATGTTCAAATGGAATTAGGACTCTGGAGAAGCTCTTGAATTTGTCCACATGGAAAGAGACATTGTTTATACCACAATGCTAATAATAAAGGAAAAAAACATGTCACCTACGGTCCATCATTTGGAAAACAGATTTTAAAAAGGTGGTACTGCCCAGTTGGCGTAACTCAGTGGTTGAGCATCGACCTATGAACCAGGAGGTCATGGTTCGATTCCAGTCAGGGCATATATGCTTGGTTGCCCAATGCAGGGCATGCAGGAGGCAGCTGATCAATGATTCTCACCTCTGATGTTTCTATCTCTCTCTCCCACTCTCTGCCTCTCTGAAATAAATACAAATATATTTTTTAAAAAGGTGGTCTGCCCTAGCCAGTTTGGCTCAGTGGATAGAGTATTGGGCCTCACACTAAAGGGTCCTGGGTTTGGTTCCGGTAAAGGGCACGTACCTTGGTTGCAGGTTCCCTGGACCTGGTCGGGGGGCATGTAGGAGGCAACCAATCAATGTGTCTCTCGCACATGGATGTTTCTCTCTGTCTCTCCCTCTCCCACTCTCTCTAAAAAAATCAATGGAAAAATATCCGCAGGTGAGAATTAACAAAAAAAGAAAAAAGGTGGTCTGAATGAATGATCTAGATTAATACACATTAACATGGATAAATCTCAAAAACAATGTTGAATGTAAAAAGTAACTAAAAGTATGTTCAGAATCATATCATTTATCTATGTTTTAACACACACACACACACACACACACACACACACACCAGTACATGTATATAAATCTATAGAATACATTTAAAAATACCAATTTAAAAATACCGATTGGACAGCTATACATTAACTCATAGTTATAGTTGTCTCTGGGGTTGAGAATAAAGGTAGAAGACTGAGAATAAGAACATAGGACTTCTACTTTATTTAAAGATTTATTTTCTTTACTTTTAAAAAAATGAAGAAAAAATTATAAATATAATTTAATTCTTAGTGATGGTTTTATCAATGTCATAACTTCAAAAAATGGCAATATAACATGTCCTTATATTGTTGTCTTACTCCATGCCAATGAAATAAGGATACAACATGACCTTTGTAAGATTAATTCATATGCATATATATACACATAAACTTAAAGAAATCCTTAGTAATATGCATAAGACAGGTGGAAAATGTCTTGAGACCTTCACAGTATTTTTTTATAATATATATTTTATTGATTTTTTACAGAGAGGAAGGGAGAGGGATAGAGAGTTAGAAACATCAATGAGAGAGAAACATCGTTCAGCTGCCTCCTGCATACCTCCAACTGGGGATGTGCTCGCAACCAAGGCACATACCCTTGGCCGGAATCAAACCCAGGACCCTTCAGTCCGCAGACTGACGCTCTATCCACTGAGGCAAACCGGTCAGGGCGAGACCTTCACAGTATTATCACAACAAGCAATTTTTTTAAACTGCAGTTATTTAAACTTCAAGTTGTGAAACCCTACTGTTGTGTTTTATTTTTAACAAGTAGAGTTTTATTTTGGTATAGTTTTAGATTTACAGAAATATCGAAAAGGGGGCTCGGAGTTCCTGTGTTTCCTTCACCCAGCTTCCCCTAGCCAGGGTACATCACATAACCAGGGTACATTACATTTAGTCTACAGATAAACATACATACTTTATTCAGATTTCACCGGTTTTTTCACTAACGTCCTTTTTCATTCCAGTTTAAATACCTGGACTAGGTGCTCTGTTTTTAAGTTAACGTCAGGGTATTTTAAAACATTCTTTCCTGGGGGCTTATATGCAGTTGTATTTGACAATGACCACATACGTCTTCTGAAATTTTATTCCTTCCATACCTGTATTCATTTCATACATTTGCTAAGGAAAGCACCTGAGCAAGTGCACACAGTAGATGGAAGCACACGCACACTTCAGAGCTCTAAAGCAGGGGTGGGGAACCTTTTTTCTGCCAAGGGCCATTTAAATATTGATAACATCATTCACAAGCCATACAAAATTACCAACTTAAAAAGCAGTCCACTATATTTGGTCAAGTGTTTAATGAAGTCACCCCTAATGCCTTGGCAGGGCCAGACCAAATGGTTTTGCAGGCCTTATACGGCTCACGGGCCAGACGTTCCCCACCCCTGCTCGAAAGCATCTGCCGGTAGAAAACATACCTCTTGTCTCTTTCTTTCCTCCTGGCTAACTGTCTGAGATAATCCATTTCTTTTCACCTGGTGGGCGGAAAAAAGAGTTTTGAGTTCATTCACTTTAATAATTGTTTTATGTAAGGCATAACTTTATGCCTTTCAAAAATGAATTAAGAGAAATTTATGCAAAATGTTGAATTCAGTACATGTGAATTTTTGGAGTCTCATACCTCCTCAAATTGCAGGGGGTGAGTGGGTGGGTGGAGGTGGAAGAAGGTATGGAGGATAAATGGTGATGGAAAACAACAAAATTAAATGAAATTAAAAAACATATTTTTAAAATATGTTTTTATTAATTTTTAGAGAGAAAGGAAGGGAGAGGGATAGAGAGATAGAAACAGTGATGAGAAAGGAACATTCATCCGTCAGTTGTCTCCTGCATGGCCCCTACTGGGGCTGGGGATCAAGCCTGCAACCTGGGCATGTGCCCTGATCAGGAATTGAGCTGGCCAATTCTTGGATCCTGAGCCACACTTGCTAAGCTAGACCTATTTTTAAGTTCACATCTCATATTTTCATCCTAAATTAAAGAATTTTAAAGATGTATTTTCCTGCTAATTGTCAATCTAGACATTTTCAATGCTACTATGGTCTTTTAAATGTATTCAATGGAATATAAAAGCCCTAACGATCTGATATCCACCATCAACCATGTAAAAGTAAATAAGCTTCCCTTGGAGATTTTACAATCATCTTCTTTCTCCCTGAAATCACATTTCTACATCAATTTCCCCCTCAAATTTCCTAATGTAACATAGTAATTCTATGTGATTGGGTATCTTATTAGTCACGCTAGTACACTTGGAAGCAAAAATGTAACTTTAAACATAATTTCCTAAAATCCCCTGTAACCATTTAGCTTTGAGTACAAAAGAGATTGTTGTGGATTATATAACCACCACAAATATTAATAGCATATGATCAAAACAACATAATTACTTCCAATTTTAATGCACTAAGCCTTAAGAGTAACATGTTACTGACGATGCAACTCTTAGAAAGATAGAGGGGCTTATGGTGGCTTAATGAAAGGAGGCTTCACTGAAAACGTTTCACACTGACCCCCTTTTATTTTACGCCCCTGTGGTCTGACACCTTGGGGCCACGCACGGTAGTAAGAGTTGAGATGGGCAAGAGGGAATGCCTTGCTTTGGTAAAAAGGCAAAAGGGCAAATGTGAAAGGAGAGGTTGGAAAAAAGACCTGGGTAACCCTTAACTGCAGATGCAGCCTCCGTTTTAGAAAGGAGAACTAGAAGTTGAGGATCTGGAAAACAGTAGCCTTCGAATGATTCCTGTCCACCTCGCACAGTGTCCATGAACTCCAGGGGTGTGATGCAATTCGTAGTGTGAAGACGGCTGTGCACACAGTTCTCTACATTGTGTTGTCAGGGAAACCAAGACGACCACATGTTACCGTCTTTCATTTAATGTTTGGAAAAAGTTGGAAAGCAGTATGAAAATAGAGTCCCAAATCAATATTAAAATGAGCAACCATTTACTGAGCATTTACTGTATGCCAGGAAATGTGCTAAACATTTTACACCTGTTTTCCCACAGAACCCTCATAAAAACTCTAGAAAGTTGATATTGTTCTTATCCCCATTTCACAGATGAGAATAACAACTGAGGCTGGGGACTCAAGATCACAAGCTAAGTAGGGAGCAAAGCCAGAATCTGCATCCATGCCTGTCCAACTTGCGGGCTCATGCTCTTAATCATGATATCATGGGGGCCAAGATCACAAGCTAAGTAGGGAGCAAAGCCAGGCATTCATGCCTATCCAACTCCCGGGCTCATGCTCTTAATCATGATATCATGGGGGTTAGGGACCCCCTTCCCCCACCCTCTTTTTCTAGGGTTGGGCAAGACCCCTTCTAATGCCAGGTCTCTGTACCAAGTCTCCCTATGTTTTACTGCATCCACCATCCTGACCCTGGGCCAGCGTGTCAGCAAGAATTCATGCCTAAAAGGGCTCCGTCAGACACTTTAATAAGGGAGGAGATGGCCAGAATGAAACTGATCAGAGCCTCTCCCATTTGGTTAACCCTGAACAAGAATTTCACAGGATTTCCTGTCTGACACGGAGTCCTGGCAGATGAATATCCAGGCTCCATGCCCACAATCTCTGCAGGTGAGGTCATCAGCAAGAATTTCCAGGCCACTCACATCTCCATCCAAAAGGACTGATGAGTTCACAGACCCGGAAATCTTAAGGGGAAGAGAATGAAACGTGTGGGCTTAGAGACCTACAGAGGACACCTAGTTTACTGAGGGATTAAGAGTACTTCATCTGATCATAAAAATAAAACAAAATCCCCAGCTAAAGTACTAGTCGTTGCTTTTTGAGGGGGAAGAGAAGGTAGTTTTAAATGGTGAAATATTCCTTTCACCTAAAAGTCATCAGTTACAAACCAGCAACCTGTACAAGACTACTGTAACAGAGAGAAAAACAAGGTTCCAGGAAGCAATATTAGGTCATAAGAAAACTGAGGTGTGATACATGTGAGGAGCCCAAAAGTTTGCTCTGGGGAATTATGACAAACCAGTTCCTCCTGGCAGGCAGCCACACCACTGCTCCAGGCCTGTCCTGCCTCAGCCCCTTCGTATGTGCACAGGCAGGCGGGACA